GCATAGCAACTATTATAAATTCGGTTGCAAATTTTGTGACTAATCGTCTTTTTCTGTCGCAAAAATATTTTTTGCAACTGATTATTATAGTAGTCGCAAAATTCAGTTAACGACCGCATAGCAACTACTGCAAATTCAGTTGCAAAATTTGCAACTACTCGTCTTTTTCAGTCGCTAAAATTATTTTTGCAACTAATTATTATGGTAGTCGCAAAATTCCGTTGCTAATTCACCTTTTTCTTGTACTTTCTAGTTAAATTAACTTATGATAAGTTAGCTTGGATTAGTCAAGACCATTTGAAGTTTTTTTTCTCTTGCTTAATATATATATATATATATTCAATTGTTAAGTTGATTACTATATTTACTGTATTAATTTCTTTAATTAAAAATTATCATATAAAAACAATTAAACAAATAATAATTAGCAATAACAATTTTATTAATAAGTGATTCAATTCTATTGTGTATTTTATTCAATTATGTTTAGCATCAACTAAAAAATTCAAAAATAATTGAACATAAAAAACCCAACCCATGACATAAGTAACACTGGCAAAATCACTGTTGTGTAAGCAATATGTTTGTTCTTCTCCATAGTTGATTGACATAATTGGCTTTTCAAGTCACCAATTTGCTCCTCAAATTGTGATTTTTTAACCTTCAATTTGTCTAGCTTCGTAGTTAGAGATTGAACTTCTTTCTCGATTTCATCCAAATTCTTTGACATCATCTCACACTCGACGCATCCACCAATATCATCATACACCCATTTGAAAAAACAACAGTCAGCTTCTTGCAATTTGCAAGTATTTTAAATACCCTAATTGGTTTTCCAAAAATAAATAATAACATATAAATAAACTAATTGGTAATTGGAACCCTAATAAAAATTTATGCCGTTAACTTATATTTATTGAAATTAGAGCTATTAAAAAGTGAGTATCGCCATTTTTTAATTTTGATATGATAAATATATGAAAGCAAGCTATGTTCCCATGGTCACAAATTAAGCACAAGGATTTAAAAAATTTACCGGATATTTACCACAACCACGAAATTTTCTACCCCTTTTGTGGTTACGCTTGTTCACAGTTCGTATCTTAGAAGGAACACCACATCCACATTTCACCATGAATCCCCCAAAACTAGAAGATGAACCTCCGAAATTTAGTGAATCCCCCATTTTATTTTTTGTAATTTTTAAGATAGAGAAGGGTGAGAGTTGAACAAGGATATAAATTGAAGTTTAGTAACTGACAAGCGAAAAATAAGGCCGGTCATTTAAAAAATTTTAAATTTAGTTTGAAAAATGCAATGCAGTATTAAATGAACATAAACCGATTAATTGACTAAGCTTTTACAAATACTTATATCCGGTTTTACCATACTCATACTTATGTCATTACCTATATCAAAGGTACTTGTGCAAACTGTGAAACAAATTCGGTTGAAAAGAGTATGCGAGGATGATAAAGATGTGAAGCAAAGAACCTTAACGCTGTTGTTTGTAAAGATTTTTTAAAATTTAAAAGATAAAAATCATTTAACTTTTAAAGGTAATAAATTAGGAAAATATCCTATTTAGAATAACTGATTTCCAATATATAATCTATTCAAAATTAAAAAAAAATAGAAATTTAGGAAAAGATCATAATTAGAATAAGTGATTTCCAATATTAAAATGCAATTTCTATACTTAAAATATATCGATTCCATAATTTTTGTTTATTGATTAGTTCGAATCATTTTCCAGGTTCATCGTATTATAAGTTGCCATCGAAGTAAATTCTATTATAATAATTGGAAATGTCCAATGTTACATTTGGTCATTATCTTTTTATAATTAATAAAATTCAGTTAAGGTTATGTCATATTTGTATTTGGGTCAATACCTTTATCACAAATAGTGTTTATAATTCGATCTTCGATTTTTTGGATCAAAAAAGTTGTGAAAAAAAATGTGTTACGGTTTCTTCTCAGATTTTCATGACGAACATATATTACCGAAAAACTTAAAATTTTTGATTTCTTATACCTTAAATCGCTATTTTCGAATCCGGTGCTTGATTTTGTACAATTAAAATCTATAATTCAAAGATTAAGAATCCACCCACAGGATGATAGAAACCGATTTTGTGTACCATAAAATTGCGCAATGGTTGTATAAATGAAGCCTATTTTTCGATCTCAATTGATGCGCGATTGAAATTAAGGTACATGGAACATAAAATCGTGGTTGATTTCATTATTTGATGAAAAATTTGGATGAACTAGGAAGAACATTGATGAACATCGAAGAACGACGAAGAACAAATTTTCGATTTTTAATTTTTTTTTAATCTTAATTTTAGATTTTATTAAAATTAGATAAAATAATTTCGAAATTAAATTAAGAATTTCTGAAAATCATTAATTGAAATTTGAAAAATAAGAAAATGAATTAAAAAAGCAAATTACCTTAATTACCCTTAAATAAGGTTTGACCAAGCTAAAAAATAAATCTAAAAACAACCAATGAAAATTAATTATAGTGATGGTCATTGTGAGAGTGACCATACTAGAATTTTTAAATTTTTATCTATCTAAACATATTAAACTTTATTACAACTTATTTTTATTGTAAATTGAACTTATTTAGCTCTTATTAATCCTTACCAAAATTTAATATATTTTTTTTCTGAACTTATTTTTAATCTTCTACACTTTATTGAATTTTATTTTAGTTGTAATACCTCCGTGTCATTTTTTTGCAGCTTTTGCCGAAACTAAATACTGCACATTATTTGCAACTAATGTTTTCTTTTCTTTTTAAGTTGTCATTTCTCTCTACTTCTCTCCTTATCACATGCATGCCTATTTTTTCTTCTCTAATTTACACTCACAAACAAATCCAATAGTCCGTGCATCCTTTAAAGTTGCAAAAAATGTGAAACAGAGGTAGTAAATATAAGTAAGGAACTATCCCTTAGGTTATGTGTTGTTTCAATGAATACTACAAGAAGGGGGGGGGTTGAATTGTAGTATAAGACTTTAGCCAAAATTTTTGCGGAATTAAGATTAAGTAAGCTAAAGGAATAGAAAGATTAACTAAAAGAACTAAAGAATGCAAGAGAGATTTTTACGTGGAAAACTCCTTGGCCCTAACAAGGAGAAAAACCACGACCACTTGGGATTTTGGGAAAATAATCTTCACTAGAATAGAGCAAATGGTCCTATTACAAACTAAAGACTCAAACTCAAGTTCCTCTACGAACCTGAAACCTCGAGGAACAAGTCACCCAACTTGTTACTCTTCTCTTCTCTTTCTCTCTTCTCACTTCTCTGTTCTCTGTTCTCTTTCTCTTATCTTTCTCTTCTCTTTCTCACTTCTCTTTCTCACTTCTCTTTCTCATACAAAAGTTCACTCAAACTTTCCCATTCCCCAAATTACAACTCGAAAGATAAACAAACTCTAGTATAAGAACATTTAGAACACTCTCATAAACTTGTGTGGAATTGGACTCTTAACTCGATTTAAAGCTTGAAAACTTATGTGAGCAAAGGTGAGTTTTTCCATCATATTTCAAAGACTATTTATAGAGCAATAAACGCTTTGGAAAATTCTCTTTGTGCAGCAAATCCATTACGCCACTACTCCAACCCACTAAGATGATCATGTTCCTAAAATTAAGGAAACATGAACTCCTCAATGTGCAAGACCATGACTTGAAAAAGATCATGGAGGAGTAGGCCGCAAGCTTTTAGAAAACGTGAGAGATTTTATTTTCAGAAGATATTTTCGAAAATAAGAGAAATAAATAAAATCCTTTTTCTTAAGATATTTTCGAAAATCAGAATAAAATAAAATCCCTTTTAAAAAGATAAACATTTTTGGAAAGCAACAGTTTTCCTAAAAACTAGCATGCACAAATTTTATCTTTTGGACCAATTCCACACATAATTTTCGAGTGTATCTAACTTCTTATACTTACATAAATCCTAGAATATAAAATATATCTTAGTCTTCATGTTCTCTGATGAAGCTTCTACTCCGAGGTTTCTTGTTCCTTGAAAGGAACTTCTCTTCTCTGATGAGGCTTCTTCTCTGAGGGGAACCTTCTCTTCTCTAGAGTCTTCATTTCTGAAGCACCACTTCCTGTGAAGGAACTCTTCTTTATGGATAGCTCTGCTTCTGGCCTTCTTGTTCCTCATGGTATTTTTGCATGACACTTAATTCTCCTGGTCTTTGCAACTGAGTACACACTTAGACAATCAAACACTTATTAGTTTGTAAGTAAGTGAGGTTGTGTCATCATCAAAATCATTAAGTCCAACAGTATGTATAACGAAATTTCCATGTTTTCTACAGCTTAAATAAAGTCAATAGAACTATGTTGAATTGGATTGATAATCTTGACGCATCCTACTATTGGTAGCTTGAATCATGTCGCGCCTACATTATTGTTATCTAAGTATTTTACAACTTATAAGCAACCTTTTACCATGGTAGTAGTAGGTACGGACTACGGACTATCATACGTGTACGGGCTAAATACTAGTTACTCGTATACAGCATCCTTTTACCTTTGTATTATGTATGGACTATCATATGGGTACGGGTTGAATTCTAGTTATAACTTTATTAATGCATGGCTTAGTTTAGACAATTGGGAAATATTCTTGATAGAAGTTTCAACCACCTATTGTGAATCTGACTAACCTCTGCATGTCTAATTGTCTATGTGCATCCAAATAATGTCTTTTTATTAATATTTGTTCATAATCATTTAAAATATTCTCACATCTTTGGTGATCACGAAAATAATTAAATTAATTATTCAAGGTCAAATGAATGGTTTTCCCCTGAAAAAGTCAACATATTATATCAATCACCAAACCCAAGGTTCAAATTAAACGAACCAGATTTTGCAAATATCTTCTTCAAAAAAATATTTATATCCAGGCATATAGCTGTTTAAACGGTTGGTAAGTTGAGATCACATATAATAATAGAATGGCACAATATTTGCTTTACACAATTGCCATGATCTGCAATGTTTTCCAGCGTTAGTATATAATATAACAAATACTCATATGAATTATTTGTTCTAAAAACTAATTAAAAAACCTTGTTTGAACTTAGATAAAAATGAACAATATATTGTATTATGAAATGCAGGGAGTAATAAAGTTATCAATTATGTATATGCCGATAAATATTGGTTATGTATTCATCAATCTAATAAAATACTATTAAAACGTAATTAAATTTTCGTCCATGTTATATTATTTTTGAAGGATTCAAATTTAATGTTAGATATAGAATAAAAAATTCAATACAATATAATATAATTTATTCACAAAATGTGGGTTTTCGAAAAGAGAAATATCACTAATACGCTTTTGGTTAATTGATGTTCACACTTTAATTTATTTATTAAAAATTATTTTCCTAATATTGAATTTGAAAGGAAAAAATATGATAAAAGTGAGAAAATGTTGGAGGGAAAATTTTTCACGAGAAATTGACATGTGTACAATGGTGATGTAAGCGGTTTTTATTTTAGTTATAGATAACTTCGCTCTAGTATTTTTAAGCTCGAAGTTATACATTTATACTATTACATATAATCCTTCATTTTGATGATATAAAATGTGCAATCACAAGTGTGAAATCTCAACTTTACAATTACTCCCAAAAACAAAAAAGGAAAAACAAGTTTCCGATAAACCTTTGAAATATTTGAGACGAACTTTTTGTAAAATCAAGCTGTGTTTTTATGTTTTTAGACTCATAGGATCGGAGTAAACTAGAATTTTTGGACCTTTCAGCTTCTAGTTGTTAGTCAACGCTTCTATTATGTGTTCTATCCCAAATTTCTTGGCAATGTACAATAATAACAATAACAATATAATAATTTTCAGAATAATTGTCTAGGAAACATCCAACTACCAGAATAACATACGGATAGTCTGCAGGAGGAATAATCTGTAGGTATTACGTATACACCGACGTATAAATGTACATGTACATTCCACGCCTAATTGAATTGGAGACAATACAATCTGCTTCGCACGTATTGTTGCATAACTAATTGTGATTTTTAACAGCCCAAGTTAAGAAATTATTGATGGATAATTATATTAAACTAAATTATTAACCAATTTTATAATTTATAAGTTTTATTTGCATGTCTTACATTAATATATAAATAGGCATTTGCGCAATTGAAACATACAAACCAATTTGCTAACACATTTGCAAACACGTACACTAGAAATTTTATCCATAATCGTTCTTAAGAAGTTAGAAAAAAAAAATGAAGTTTCCCGTTACTAGCATTTTGGTTAGAGTGCTAGCTCTAACCATGCTCATCTTGGCTCTAAGCCATGTGGGTCAGTCTAAAGGTTCAGGTTGGAAACAAGGAGGTTCAAAATCGAGTCATGGTCATAAATCCTATGGTTCTACTCATGGGCAAAAGAGCCATGGTTCCAAGGGTCGACATGTGGGTCGTGGAAATAACAAGCCCCCTAAAAATATTCCTACCCCAATCACTCCAAGTCCGCCTCTTAGCCCTCCTTCGAGTCCTCCTACCCCTACTAGACCTTCGGGTTTGCAGGTCGGCTTTTATAAAGGTCTATGCCCTAACAAACTAGTGGATATTGAGGCAGTGCTTGAAATCAAAGTACAAGAACATTTCCGAAAGGATCCAACTATTCTTCCTGCCATCCTTCGTATGCAATTTCATGATTGTTTCGTACATGTAAGCCCTCAACTTTCTTGCTATCTCTATTGTTGCATCAATTTTATTTTCAAAGGTGATGGCATTATAAACAAACAGTTATTATAGCTTTATAGGTTTCTTATACATACCTCATATTGCAAAATGTTATTATTCATTTTTTTTTTAGTTTCTAAATAAAATGACGCGATCATGCAAAAGTTTATAATGCATGTACGTCATTTTCATATAAAATGCTAACTAATTTAACTTAATATTCATCATGTCATAATTATAATTAATATGTCATCTAATGTTTATTTACTTTATTATTATTTTTTTGAAGGGATGTGACGCATCAATCCTTATAAATGGACTTTCTACGGAGAAAACAGCTGGTCCCAACCTTAGCGTAAGAGGATATGAATTAATTGATGCCATGAAAGCTATAGCCGAAGCACAATGTCCAGGAGTTGTTTCGTGTGCTGACATTATTGCTATTGCTACTAAGGAGCTTATCAAACTGGTAAATTCATTGCCTTAAATATTTCATCAAATTGTTTTATTTGCATCAATGGAATATCAAGTCATTAGACAATTCTTATATTTGAATTTTATTTATTTTTTAAATTTATATCTTTTTCATATAAATATTTCAATTAATTTTCTCCAATAATAGGGAGGTGGGCCAAACTATTCGGTACAAACCGGACGAAGAGATGGACTAGTGTCAAGAGCCCAAGATGTTAACCTTCCGAGCCCATTTTTGACAGTTAGTGAAACTATTTCAGCATTCAGCGCTAAAAGATTTACAACAGAAGAGATGGTTATTCTTTTAGGTTGCCACACAGTTGGTGTCTCAAGCTGTGCATTCTTTCAAGATAGACTTTACCAAGGTACTACCCAATTTGACCCAATTATGGACCCAACTCTTCGCCAACAACTTATGCCAACATGCCCTAAGGGCATAACAGCGAACAATTCCACATTTCTTGACCAAAATCCACGAAGCTCAAATATAGTCGACAACTCTTTCTTTAATCAAATACAAAAGCAAAGAGGAATTCTCCCAATCGACCAAGCATTGGCTCGTGATCCTAAAACTATTCCCTTTGTTCAACAATTCGCGCAAAGTGCTTCCTTATTCAACACTAAATTGGCTAATGCCATGGTGAAATTGCAAGCTCTTGATGTACTAACAGGCAACCAAGGAGAAATTAGAAAAACGTGCAGTAGGTTCAACTAATTTATTTCAAAGTTGCTTCTGATAGTGAAATTTGATAGATGAATTGAAGGCTGCATCATATCAAACCCTACGTTGAGAAGTTGTTGAGTTTTTTTTTTTACACTATAGATTTTTTTTATCATTACAAATGCTTTTAAATGTAATTATATGTTCCCTTTCTTAGCCAATGATCATTCAGATTTTAATTTATTTAGTATCAAGTAATTTTCATTCTAAAATACTCCAATGCAAGTTGTTTGAATTTTTAAAAAAGTATTATTAAAGTTGCACTTGATTGCAATGCAAATAGAAATAGAATCAAGCATTCCTTATTTTCATATCTTAACTCAAAAAAAAAAAAAAAAAAAATTATACTTGGATTTCAACCAATAGTTTAAGCTTTTAGTTAGTTTTGATGCAAATTACCATATCTTAAACTTGGCCAAAATTCGATCTTAATCAAATCATAAATTGTTGAAATAGAAATGTTCCAAACAACACATATAAATATCTCACATTGTGAAATGAAAGAGAGTTGGGACTACGTACTCCTTGATAATGAGTGTCGCCTACACCTCTAAACTTCTAAAGATAGATACCTGACTTATAGAATAAAACCATTAATCAGTATGACACTATGACTCGAAATGATACCAACATAGCAATAAGTCTTGTATAAGGTGGGCTTACATTAATTATTGTAGCTTGTAAGACAGTTAATTTAAGGGTAACTTTAACAATTTTTATAGTAAAACTAATTTTTATAAGGGTAACTGTTTAGCTGCCGAGCTATAGCTCGGTAGTTAGGTTATTCTAGGATAATTGATGGAATATTTCCTAAAATTATATCTTTTCTATGACTGCTATTTGAGTAATACTTGGAGAACAATCTTAGGGTTTTATTAGGATTTCCTTGTGTTATAAAAAGACCCTTTAGTTGATTAATTAGATCATACCTTTTTTTTTAGCCATTAGATTAAGGACTCCTTGTATTATTCTCTTGTTTCTTTCTCCATTATAGTGAAGAAGCTCTCGAATCCCCCACCCGTGGATGTAGGTCTATTTTGATCGAACCACGTAAATCCTTGTGTTCTTTGTTTATCTTCTTTATTTCTTTTCCCGTTCTTAATTTCATTGACTTGTTCCGCAAATCAAACACAATTACACCCTAATTTCCTAACAGTAACTTTTAATTTATAATGAATTTGATTGCATTTTAATGTATAATATCTAAATATTTTGCTAATATGATTAATCTAATATATTATAAGTGTTTTAAAGGTCAACTTTATGTGGTTTTAAAAAAAAAGGTCAAATTTATATTAAGAAAATGACAACTTTTATATTATATAAGGATAACTTTAAAAACTTTTAGGGTATCTGCAACCTGTCTTTAAATAACTTAATAAATCTAGAATTTGTGCACACATAAAACAATACGAATGAATCATGCCACTTGTAGCCCTTAATGACTCAGATAGTCAAATACATCACGTTTAGCAAGACTAAAGAATCACCCAAACGTCAAAACAAGGCTTTGGAGGCAACTTCTCTAGTAGGTCAGTATTTCTCTCTATTTTTTCGTTTATTTTATATCAAGTTCCAACTTTTATTGATTTTCTAATCTAGATTTTTAAAATTTGGGGTCATTATAATTAGAATTTAATCATTCATAAACCCTAATTATGTTGCTAGTTGCTTTTTTAGTTAAAAGGAACTAATATGTGTTGCTAGTTTTTTTATAGTCTATTTTAAGATTTGATGTTTTAAAATAAACTAGTTTTGTATTCCAAAGGGTACAATTTCTTCTTCTAATTTTTATCAATTTTGTGGATTAAATTAAATTATGTGATACATGATTGACAAAACTATGATTCAGGACTGTATCTAATTTGCATTTGGAGTGGATTGTTCTAATAAAGATAAGAAAAATTTGTAAATTACCACCCAAATAGGAGATCTGTTTTGAAATTACTACCCGTTAAATTAAAAAAAAAAAAATTTCGATTCCTACCTTTTACGAAAATCAAATCCGGTGGATTTTCTAGTTTGAGTCCTCCACCTAACGGCTATATTAACTGATTCTCCCCCGATTTTTCTATTTAAAACAGCTTCCAACTTCAATTCCCATTCCCTTCACCAAATTTCACCAAATTTTCTCAGATTTTGCTATTTGTTGTTTGAAGATAAATCCCACAATTGCAGACACTCAATTCACAGTAAGGTATGATTTCATTTGTAATTAAATTAGGGTTCTTCGCCAACTATAATTAGGGTAAATGGGTAGATTGGGAATTAAGGATCTAAGAGCAATTGAATTGGGCGTTTTCAACAATTAGGGTTCTTGGGACAATTGAATTGGCGTTTTCAACAATTGAATGTCAAGAACTTCGCCTATAGTTTTTGATCCCCAAAGAACACCCAAAGATGGAGACTTTTCGCACTTTTTCCCCTTCACTAGTACATGCAAGTACAGTATAGCAATTACTTTGTAGAAAAACAAAACTTAGTATTTTACTTTAAAAATTTTAGGGGTAGTTGAACACTTGATAGAAAATTTAAGAAGAAAGAAGGAGAATATTGAAGATGGTTCACCAATTTATTGGAGAAATTGGATGAGGGAAGTGATAGGTAGAGTTTAATAGAATATTGAGAGGGTTAAGTCGAGAGAAAAGAAGAAGAAAAAAAAGGAGGGAAGTTAGTTTGTGCGGCCCTCAAACTAAAAATCCACCGAATTTTTTTAAAAAGAGGAAATCAGAATATTTTTTTAAATTTAAGGGGTGGTAAATAAAATAAAAAAATATTTAACGGGGGGTAATTTCAAAACAGGTCCACTATTTGAGTGATAATTTACAAATTTCCCTAAAGATAATAATTATTTTCAGTAGATGCAGTTGATCTTCTGAATTTCCATGTTTAAGGACCCTTGTTTGGAAATTTCTATTATATATACGGTCAATTCGGATATACGATAGTCATTTTGCTCACCATTGTTTCAAATTCTTACAAGAAGAATTTTAGAAATTTGGAAAATATGACGATTCACGATTGTTACCTAAATACTTATTTACTACATCTGTTTCACATTTTTTGCAACTTTGAAGGGTGCACGGACTCCTAGGCAAAATTTGTTTGTGAGTGTAAGCTAGAGAAAGAAAAAGGAATATGAATGCATGTGATGAGGAGAGAGATAGAAAGAAATAACAACCTAAAAAGGAAAGAAAACATTAGTTGCAAACAATGTGCACCAACCATTTTTAGCAAAAGTTGTAAAATACGAAATGGCGGTAGTAAGTAGCTACTGTCTAATAATTTATATTAGATGATTTTTGCCTCAAAGTTATATTGGTAACAAACACTAGAATCCGGCAAGATTTGCAAGAAATATATGGGACGAGTGAACAATGAAGTGACTTTTTAATGGCAAGTTATAGAGTAATTACATATAGAAAGAAGTGACTTGTTAATGACGGATAGAGTCTAAAACATATTGTTGGGCCTCAACCATCAATTTAAACTTTTGGTTGAGTTGGTATTTTTACATGTGAAAGGGGGCGTGATAGAGTATAAAACACATTTCTGGGCCTTAACTATTCGTTTAAGTTTTTGTTGTTGAGTAGGTTTTCTAACGTGGTATCGGAGCCAGTGTGACATAGAGGTCACGGGTTTGAATCTCATCCACCCATCGTTTAAAGTGGAATTAATTTGCGCCGGGTATGAAAAGGCCTGTGTTGCATCCATATTTCAAGTCCAAAGGGTCTTTCATGTGAGGGGGAGTGATAGAGTATAAAATATATTCTTGGGCATCAACCATTAGCTTAAGCTTTTGGTTGAGTTGGTTCACTAACAATGACAAGTTACATTACATATAGCTTATTACCTGTAATAAAAAAATGCATAAAGATAATCTATTATTGGTATTATACACCCCTAATTTTGGATAAAATCATCACGATTCATATTGATTTTAGCCTTATGAGAGGAAGCAAGTTCTGATTTATCTACATTCTATCTGTAGGCCGCGTTGTGGCTTGCAGAGCACGCGCTGATATGATCGGTGCATGACTTGCTATTAGACGTAACACATTATTTATCCTTGAATGCTTACCTTTCTGTGATGCTGTAAGAACAAGCATCTTATCAAGACACTGGAAATACCAATGGAAAACACTTTCCAAGATAAAACTCGATCAGGAATTGTTTAGCAGCATCAAACATTTCACAACAGGAAGTTCATACAATTCATTATTACCACTTTCAGACATCACTTACAATATTCTACTTACCAACACTGCCCATTCATACTTTTGTTCTTAGTGTACCTTTCTGTTTACAAAGGATGTGAACATTAGTCAATGGGTGCAGTATGTTTATGGTAAAGGGGTCAAAAAAATCCATCTGATTAATGGTAGTCGCTATGACATATTGGAGCTACCTTCTTGTTTGTTCTTCCTGTTTTGAGGTTTTTTGGAATCCTTCGGGACATTGGTCACGCTTCGCCGGCAATGAGACTCAGACACCTGCAAAACCACAGAACTCCGGTTTATCGGAGTTCCGTCTCCGACAATCTAGTAAGTAATCGGAAAACAAGATAAATAAGAGAGAGGAAGTAGAGAGAAGTTGGAGCTTCTAATGCTCTATTAAATGTTATGTCACAATCCGCCCTTCCCATCATAAATGATAGGGGTATTTATAGGGGTGGAGAATTGTTCCCTTTTAGGGTTATTACCCTAGAATGACGCGATTTGATTGGCGGCGCAATCAAGTAGCGACATGTGTCTAGGGGTCAGCGCCGTTTTGCGGCTTTCTGGTTGGATTGGGCCTCCTGATGTAAGGAGGCCCCCTTTCTCTTATTTCAGGTGCTCTTCTTGAGCTTGACACGCGTCATCTTCTCGTAGAGACACGTGTCGCCCGTTGATTGGGCCACGTGTCCTTACGAGATTGGACCATGTGTAGGGGGTATTTTTACCCTAAACACTTCTGTACAAATTTGACACACTTGTCACTCACCAATTGCTATATTATATCCCTTCCACCAACATTTTCAGGCTTTCCATTTCTTACTTGCCTTAATTTGTTTATGCATATGAGATTAGTCAATCCTAGTAACACAAAAGTGCTAGAAATTTTAATTTCTAGTTGTCCAAGGCTACAGAGTCTCAACTTAAACACTTTTAGAGTGGAGGATCTAGTTATTCGTGCTCCTGAACTACAAGAGTTAATTGTACAAGTCATTATTGATAATCTATTACGCGTGAAAGGAACAAAAAATATAAGCACAATAGATCTACGTATTTCATTTGTACATGAAAATAACTTAAGTGAGTTGAGCCAGTGGTTCAGTCGCTTGTCGTGGTTCAATTGATTGTCGAATATCAGGAAGCTCGTTTTCAATGACTTTTTTTGGCCTGCGGTACTAAATTCATTTACACTATGTTTGGATAAATAAAGGGGAAGGAAAAGAAGGGGAGGGGAGGGGAAGGAAGTATGCGGTGAGTTTTCCTTCCAAATCTCTCCCTTGTTGGATGGATGAATTTCTTACAATTTAATCCCTTTATTTCTCTCCCCTCTAATTCTCTTCCTTCTCATTTGTTATCCAAATAAATGATACCTCATCGCTCCATTTTCGTTCCCTTTCTTTCCCTCCATTTCCTTCAATCCAAACACACCATTAGCTTCTCTGTATTGCATCTGCTTATTTCTCTTAAATTGTTCTGATTTACCGATACTATGTTGTGCAGTGGAAACAGGTTTGCAATACTCGATCTCCTAATGTGTTTGCAATAAAATTTAAACGATTGAAAGTGCTAGAACTTCTTCGTGTATCTTTTGGTTATCACTATATCTTCCCTATTTTTCTTTACTTGATTGAAAACTCACCAAACTTACAGCGACTACGTTTTAACGTAAGTATTTAAAATTCTTCATCCATTCTCCTAGTTAGCTTTGTCATGATTTCTTGTGTGCATTGTTGTTTTGTGAGTTGCTTTGAATTACTGAATCTTCTACCTTTCCATCTCTTAAACATGTAGAAATTGAGACCTTGGGTATAAATAATGATTTAGAGGTTATATAGTATCTACTAGCAAGTTCGCCAATAAATATCTTGAGAAGATGACTGTTGTACTTTATGGTAGTCCATGGCCTTCAGGCTATGAACCAGAATTTAAGTTAAATTTATCCAAGAAGCTGATGCACTTTAGCCGAGCCTCGCCAGCAGAGGTTGTTTTCAAGGTGTAACAACACAATTCTATGTTATAATTTTACTCTTTAGCTCCCATCCTTTCTACTTCGTATATGCTTAGGAACAATGGGCATTTTTGTGTAGATATTTTTGGTTGTGTTTTTTTTTTTTTAAAAAAAATGAGGCAAATTACAATCTAACATATCTAAAACAAGAAACTAACAACAACAAAACCCACTTAGCTAAACCAAAGAGGGAAAATGAAGTAAATGAGTACACCCTTGTGCATCAAACCAAATTCATCGGAGCCCGAATAACTAAAAGGTTCTTACTAAAACCTTTTCTTGGACCAACCGTTGCCAAACGAACCAAACCCTTGGAGAATGACAGATAATGCATGCGGACACTAGAGAAGGGAACCGAAACTTGCCATAATTCCAATGCAACATCCCGGTGGAAGTGGAGTAGTAACAATACACCCGAAAGTTGAAAGCACCATGCTGCCAACAAAATGACCCATCACATGACTCCACTCTTAGGGATTGAAAAGCATAACCCTCTCCTAAGAGTCCGGGAGCCAAACCACAAGAGTCGAACTTTTCCTCGACTCTGCCATAGAAACCTTACACCAAAATGCAGGTTTCTTTCCTGCAATTCTACCTATATAGAATGCAAGAAAATGGATGGAGGACTTTGCTTACCCCAAACATTAAAGATGGGGAGCCTCCTTCAATATTGAAATTTTTAATGATGATTGTCTTTGCCATCATCAACACCAAAACCGACACTGGGATGATAGTCAGTGAATGAAGACCCAAATCATCCCGTAACCAAGAAGCAACAGGACAAGTGAACAAACCTCTCCCCTCAAACTCATCTTCTCCCTGCAAATTCCAAATACAGGGAATATTTCTACCTGCATAAATACCGCTAGCCTCTAGAAAACAGCACAAACACAGAGGACATCGCCCAAACTATCAAAGAGGGAAACCGTACATGCAACATGTCAAACCCTCTTAACACGATCCTACCCCGAACAAGCAACTAAAAAGGCCACCAACCAAACTAGCAAAGGATTGAATAACCTTACAATCCTAAAACCAATCAAAAAAGGCTCCAAGAACAACGATAACACTTCATAACCCTCCATAACTAGAACTACTCTATTCAACTCTTACTCATGAACAAGCAGAGAAAGAGTATTATTAACAAACAACAACCAAACTAATAGAGCTACCCGAAAATGCTCCAAATCAAGAACAACAACACAAATATTAAAAAGCAAAAATCCAAGCAACATAACAAGAAACTTAACAGGAAAAACATAATTAAAGGCAAAATAAAAGAAACAAAAAAGCCTTACTAAACAAAGTAAGGAAATAGGCACCCCGCACACACCCACAAGATGGAATGAGCCACCAGAAGAAACACACGGAACCCAACCAGACTTCACCAGCAGATGTAAAAAGAACCAAAAGATCAATCATCTAGGCCAACGTAAAAACAACCGCCTCCCCTTGAACTTGAATTGAGGAAGAAAACCCTACCCTAAACTTCACCTTTACCGTCGGGAAACTATTAACGGAATTCCTTTCGACGGCGACGTTAAGGATAGCCTTGGCTTCTTGTATCGTTGGATAATTGAATTAAAACACTAGACAACACACCGAACTTGGCCAAATCACCGATGAAAGAAGAACAAACCGGTTCCAAAACGTCCTTGTCTACCTACCGTGAAAGACTTAAAAAATAAAATTAAGAACCAAAATTAAAGACAGCTAAGAGAACTAGACTCACCGGCGATGGCTATTAGATGAGCACTGATCGCCGGCGAGTGGGGGTTGAGAAAATAGAGGAAGCGGTAGCGCCAGTGGGAGGATAAGCTCAGGATCCTAGAGAGAGAAAGGAAGCGGTGATTAGTTTATAAGATGTAGTTTATTTCTTATGTTGTTTTTTTCTTTGTTGTGGTTGCTATTGTAACAATTTTACATATTTATGCCTTTTTCTTCTTTTTGATGATTAATTCTATCCTTTGTTCAGGAGGCCTTAGGCCCTTAATTTCTCAATCCCCTATCGAACATCGGCTTGGATTAGGAGTCTTTTCTTTTTTAAAACGTAAAATAAAATTACGCACATAATTTACTTAATATGTGAATTCCTAAGTGTACTATAATTTTTATATTGCCGACTCCGTCACTACAAGAAATTAGCTATTTTATGACGGCCAAAATTTGTCGCAAAAATAGCAAAAGCCGTCGTAAAAAATAGTTGCGACAGTCAACTGTCGTAAATTGTTTGTCGCAATCAGCATTGTCGCAAAAAAAAAATAATTCCGACAGTTTGAATGTCGTAAAGAATTATTGCGACGATTTTACTAATTTCAACGATGGTTTTTAATTTTGTCGCTGCAATTATTTTACAACAGTTTTAAACTGTCGTAAGTTGCGACAAAAAACTAAACTGTCGTAAAAAAATGGTTTTAGCGATAGCTAGCCGTCGCAAATAGCCGTCACAAAAAAAAAAAAAAAATAAAAACGCCTATCCCCTGCCCCCTTTACCCAGGCCTCCCTTCCCCTGCCCCCACAACAATCTTTCGCACCACCGCCGACAACCACCTACAACTCTCCTTCCCACCACCACCTTACACAAAGAAACATTAAGATCTTATCTAAAAATTAAACCCCAAAAAAAATGAAACTCAAACAAAATAAACCCAGCATATAATAAGCACACATAAATGAAAAAATAAAATAAAAAATACATAAAAATAACAAAACATCAAACAAGATATACAAATAAACTTCCAATAACAAAAAAAAAACCCACAATATATAAATCGAAAAAAATAGGAATTATCCAAATAGTACAAAATTCAATTCGAATAAACAAGCCACAATAAATCCAAAAAAAATAAACAAATTATAACAAATTGAAACAAATATCAACACGAAAATAGACGATAAATAAAAAAAAATCATAGGAATATAAACGAACAGCAAAAAAAACGGCAGTATAATCACAAAATAATAAAATTAACCAAAAATATCAGAATATAAACATAAACCACAATAACAAACACGAAAAATACAAAAAATTAAACATACCTTCAAAATTTTTCTTCTTTTTGGGTGTTTATTGTCAAATTCGATCATGAAAACTCCAGATCTGGAGTTGTTATAATCAAATTTGATAAATAAAACCCCAATGTCATGAAATTAAACCTCAATTCGCCATATTTTAGAACACAAGAAAGAACAGAAAGGAGGAAGAGAAAGAGAGGAAAGAAGGAGGATGAGAAACAAAGAGTAGACTGAAAAAGAGAGAGGAGAGCGCACTTAAAGAGAAGAGAGGAATTGAGAAGGTGGAGAAGAGGAGAAAGAACCAGGG